TATCATAATAACGATGATTATAACAAGGTCAAATAAAAAAAAATTGAAGCAGCAACGACCCAGACAGCGAAAGACGACACTTTACCTTGGAAACCATGGTGAGAAATCAGCTGACGGAGGAGCCGAAGGAGGCAGCAGATGAGCGTCCTGTGATCGTCTTCTGTGCCCTGCGTTGCCCTTTTATACGCTCTCGCATCCTTTGTCCTCGTCGCCCTGTGGAGGCTGGAGTGACGAAACTACTCCTTGGGGCAAGAAGGGGCGTGGGAGGGGGCGGGACTACCCCAGTGAAGACGCGGTTCCTCGGCGAAAAAAATAGAATAGGAAAAACGAGATCGGATGTGCGCGTGCGTGAAGCGTGACCGGGATGCGTGCTTCTGTGTATACGTGCATCATTCTACCCATCCACCGTCCATCAATCCGTCCATCCATCCATCCATCCATCCATCCACCCATCCGTCCACCCATCCGTCCACCCATCCATCCGTCCACCCATCCATCCATCCACCCATCCATCCATCCATCCATCGATCCATCCATCCATCCATCCACCCACCCACCCACCAACCCATCCATTCATCCACCCACCCACCAACCCATCCATCAATCCATCTATCCATCCACCCACCCACCAACCCATCCATCAATCCATCTATCCATCCACCCACCCACCAACCCATCCATCAATCCATCCATCCATCCATCCATCCATCCACCCACCCACCCACCCACCCACCCACCAACCCACCAACCCATCCATTCATCCACCCACCCACCCACTAACCCATCCATCCATCCATCCATCCATCAATCAGTCAATCCATCCATCCATTCATCCATCCATCAGTCAATCAACCCATCCACCCACCCACCAACCCATCCATCCATCAATCAGTCAATCCATCCACCCACCCACCAACCCATCCATTCATCCACCCACCCACCCACCCACCCACCCACCCACCCACCCATCCATCAATCAGTCAATCCATCCATCCATTCATCCATCCATCAGTCAATCAATCAATCCATCCATCCATCCATCCATCCATCCATCCATCCACCCACCCATGTATATACGCACATAAGAGAAAACGCAAAAAATGCTGATCCAAACATGCACATCCATTCATCCATCCATCAGTCAATCAATCCATCCATCCATCCATCCATCCACCCACCCACCCACCCACCCATGTATATACGCACATAAGAGAAAACGCAAAAAATGCTGATCCAAACATGCACAGTCGAATACATTTATTCATGAATGCTTGTTTTCACATTTTAATATGTATATATGCATTTAAAAAAAAGGAAAAAGGGACCTGAATATTAAATATATTTTTTTCAGAAAGATTCCTGTCATCCCATGATGAAAACACGATATTTGGTCCTCTGTTCTCACATACATTGTAAACGGATGCCATAGGGCAGAAATATGCAATATAATATGAAACAGCTGTATGACTCTGTGCCGATATTTTCTCTATAGTACCGCGTGTACTCTGACATTGGCTGGATTTAAAAACGATGTGCTGTGGGGGCTAGAATGGCAATGACTCGATGCTGTGGAGGCTGGAATGGGAATGATTTTTGCTGTGAAGGTTGGAATGGAAATGACTCAATGCTGTGGAGGCGGAATGGAAATGACTCAATGCTGTGGAGGCTGGAATGGAAATGACTCAATGCTGTGGAGGCTGGAATGGGAATGGCTCAATGTTGTGGAGGCTGGAATGGGAATGGCTCAATGTTGTGGAGGCTGGAATGGGAATGACTTGGTGATGTGGAGGCTGGAATGGAAATGACTCGATGTTCTGGAGGCTGGACTGGGGACTGATATTGGGAAGGCTGGGATCAGAGTGACTGATGCTGAAGCTGGAATGAGAATGACATGCTGTAGATTCTGGAATGTGAATAACTTCATGTTGCAGAAGCTGGAATGATAATGACCTGATGCATGGATTAGGAGTGCTGCACACTTGGAATCAAAGTGACAGAAGCTGTGGAAGCTGGAATCTGTTACTGGAGTTAATGAGGCTGGCATCCAAGAGCCTGATACTGTGGCAGTTGGAGTCACAGTGACATCATCTGGAGGATAATTTTTTATTTTGCTTAACCCAGGAGAGCAATCATTTATGACAATGGAAAGTTAATGGTGAAATTGCCATTGAATACTAATGCTTTTGCTACTCATAGAGTGGTATTACTCTCTCTTTCTCTCCCTCCCTCCGTCCCTGTTATATATATATATATATATATATATATATATATATATATATATATATATATATATATATATATATATATATATATATATATATATATAATTGTGTGTGTGAGCGCGGGGGCTCTGTATGTCTGTATCTATGTATTTATGTATATATGTACATATGCATATATATGTACGTGTATCATATATGGTTATACTAATGTATTCTTCTTAGAATAATATTTAGATACACTGTACATAAGTCTACCATAGATTTATAAATTCCATACA